GTTGCTAACAGACAACAAGCATGTTTTAAGCACCTGCTATGTGCCGGCCACTGTGCTGGCAGTGGTTAGAAAGCCCCACTCTTCCCCAAAGACTCTTCCCTGGCCTGCCCCTCTGCTACCAGCCCTCATCCATAGGGCCACTTTATCTCCCAGATTTACCCCAAATACTGATTTTTTTTTCATTTTAGTGAGGCAATTGGGGTTAAGTGACTTGCCCAAGGTCACACAGCTAGTACATGACAAGTGTTTGGTCTGAGGCTGGATTTGAACTCAGGTCCTCCTGACTTTAGGGCTGGTGCTCTATCCACTGCGCCCCCTAGTTGCCCCTCAAATACTGATTTTGATAGTTTTTTTAAGCTATTGCATTATAGGTGGATGAGGCAATCACAGGGGGAAGCAAGAGTTTGCCTTTGGATCTGTGAGTACCAGTTTTGTCCTGAGGTAAGGAAAAAGACTTCCTCACTTCCTAAAACTAGACCAAAATTGAACAAGCTGCCCTGGGAGGTGCTAGGTTGCCTCTTCCTAGAGGTCTTCAAGCAAAGAATGGATGACTGCGTGTTGGAGACAGAGAGGGGCTTCTGTTTAAGGGCAGAGTGGATTAGGTGGCTTCAGAGTTCCTTTGAGCAGTGACAGTCTAATTCCCTGAAAGGACAGAGCGCTGGTGTGACCTTTATGCCTTCCTTTTCAGAGAATGAGGGAAGACAGGTTGAGTTGAATCTCCTTTTCTGGCCTGTCCTAAGCATATTGCTTAAGGGGCCTAGAGGGATGGCAGGTCCCCCGAGGGAGCCTCTGGGAATTAAGGATCAGGTCAGAGCCATCGATTGAATCTGCCATTGTAAACCTCACTTGGAAAAGATGTAATGATAGTCTTTATGACTTTTTGCCTTTATACCTCCATCTCCAATGAGGTGGAGAGATGATGGCTGACCTGGAATCAGAAAGGACTTTGGTCCCCCCAACTCCATGGAAGTCTCCTCATATACTTCCATCTGATTAGAGGGTAAATTTGGTCTAAGGAGACCCATTTTATACCCCCAAGGCTTCCAATTTGTCTTTCCAATCCCAAAATTTTTTTAACTAAACAAGGGGTATGGAGATCCCCCCAGATAAAATAAATAATTCTGCTTACATGAAGAATGTAAGTAACCAACTGGCAAAAACAAAAACAAAACAAAAACTTTGCATCACTCATTTCCTATATGGGTCCGGTAGCCAAGATTATTAGGGAACTAGCAAATAAAAGAGTAAGAAGCATTTCCCCAGTGGAAAAATTCTCAGCACCAAATTTCTCAACCTTGTGTCAAATGGTTCAACATCAGAAACCAATATGATTTATTTAATGGAAGTGATGTTAGAGGAGATGCATTACCATTTGATTAGCCATCATACACCAAGGACCACAGAGTCCTTCCATCTAACTTGGAGCTGAAATGCTTACATAGGTTCTCTCCCCATGGTAGGATGTGAGCTCAGTGAGGGCAGAGTTGACTGGCTTTTCTATCTCTGGTGCTTAGTGCAGCCCTAGAGTAGATTTTGGAGAGCTTAAAGCTGTATGTTGAAAGCTGACATAACTGACTCCATTTTGTCCTACATTTGCCCCTTTTTGCTAAGTGATGCATGGGCAGCTTAAAGCAAGCTGTCTCCTTTGATATTTCCCCTTCTCTAATTACTGGGTGACTGAAACAGTGGTCTCAGAGGACTTTGAGAGTTAAAATAATTGGCTCCTCTTTATCTTAACTGATAAATGAGGTGTTGTTTTCTTTGAATTAGTGGGAATGGCATTGCTAATGGACACTTTTGCTAAGGACACTTTCCTTCTCTTGTAATTAGTGATAAACATCCTTTCTCCTGACCAACAAATACATCTCCTAGTTCATTACTCTTCTTGGCTCCAGTAAGCACTGGGGATATAAAGAAAGGCAAAAGGTAGTCCCTGCTCTCAAGGACCTCGAAATCTCATTGGGGAAACTATGCTAACACCAATGTACAAACAAGCTATACACAGAGATTGTGAGCAGGGGAAGCAGGGAGAGCCTTCTAGGCCTGGAAAGGTGTTAGCATCCATACATGATGGAGGAAACCAAGTCCTGTTGAGCAGCAAGGAGCTGTCTCAGGCAGCAGAGGATGGAGCTAGGTCAAGGGCCTTACTCCCATCCTCATACAGCTGCTGGCTTTTACTCCAAGGGCTGCTCATCCAAATACCCTCATATCAGCTTCTCTGACCCAGTTAAGTGGTTAGAACTGGTCCCTGACCAGTTAGGTCAGGGCTAGCTGCCACTGCTGTGTTGGCTGCCATAAGGCCCACACCTTATGATTCTCTGTGCAGTCCTGAGTGACCAGGCTAGCCGCCACTCCCGAACTCCAGTATTACAAGTTCCTCCCTCTTCTCCTTGTGCCTTCCAAACTCAGAGTCCCAGGAGAGAGAGACACAGAAAGCTAGAGGAGACAGCAAGATACAGAGAGGGTCAAGGAAATGAGGATATAGGGAAATACAAAATGAAAAAAAAAAATCCAGACATAGCCTAAGAGAATCAAAAGAGACAGAGTGATACAAGAAGACAGAAACAGCTTGAGGAAACAAAGAGCCAAATCAGTCAGGCAATACATCATGTACTTATTAAACACTTGTGTGTGAGGCACTGTGCTGAATGCTGGGAATACAAAGAAAAGAGTGAAATGATTCCTGCCTGCAAGAAGTATACGTTCTATGAGGGAGACAACATCTCCATTTGGATGTATATACATGCAAAACAAGTCCAAAATCAGTGCAAGATAGTTTAGGGAGGGAGAGAACTAGCAATTGGAGAGTCAATGGAGGCTTCAGGTAGAAGGTGGTGATCGACTTTTTGTGGTAGCGAAGAACTGGAAACAAAGTCGATGACAATGGATTGGGAAATGGCTAGACAAACTGGCTGAGGAATGCAATGCAGTATTACTGTGCTGTGAGAAATGATGACTGATGAACATAGAGAAGCATGGAAAGACTTGTGTGAATGGATGCAACAAGTCAGTAGAATCAGGGAGAAAATACACAATAATCTCAACGGAAAGAACAATGTCAGCAAAGCAATTGAAACGGAATTTTGATAAATTTATCCCTGAAAGAAGAAATATGAGAAGGTGCTTCTTTTCAGAGGTGGAGGACTGTGGAGATGGAACCCTCTCCCCGTCTCTGCCTCCTGGCTTTCTTGACCTTCTTCAAGTCTCAGCTGAAGTCCCACATTCTACAGGAAACTTTTTTTTGGTCCTACTTAACCTTAATGCTTTCTCTCTCTTGATCATCTTTGATTTCTTTTGTATATATCCTGTTTCTACGTAAGTGCTTGCATATTGCACCCCGAGTGGGCTCCCTGAAAGCAGAGGGATTTTGGGGGACTTTTTTTTTGTATTCCCAGTGCTTAGCACAGTGCCCAACACATGGCACTTGCTTAACAAATGCTTTTTGACTTGGATCCCACCATATCGTGTCAGACATTTTTGATATGTTGGAGAAGGGGAAAGGGAAAAAGAAGCATTTATATAACTCCTACCATGTTCCAGGCACTGTACTAAGTGATTTTACAAATATTATCTCATTTGATTCTCACAACAACCCTGGGAGGTAGGTACTGTTATTGTCTCCATTTCACAGATGAGAAAACTGAGGCAAACAGGTTAAGTGATTTACCCAAGGTCACCTAGCTAGTAAGTATCCGAGTGGGCATTTGAACTCAGGTCTTCCTGACTCCAGGCCCAGAGCCCTTTACACTGAGCTACCAGCAACTTCCATGTTACTTGGTTTTACAAAAATTTCCCTCTTCCTCTTTTAAAAATTCTTTATCATAAAAGAGATGGCCTTCTGAGGGGAGATCAAGTAAGAAGTGTGGGTCATATAGAAACAAAAGTTATCAATAAAATTTTAGAAATGAATATGATGCTTTATCTGAGTCTTGGGAGTCTTAGGAAGTGAGGGAGGGAGTACAAACATGGGAGACAGCCTGTGCGAAGGCACTGGGGACTCCAGCCATCTAGTCTAGCCCCTTAATTTTGTAGGTGAAGAAACTGAGGCTCAGATAGATAAACAAGGAATTGTGTGTGTGTGTGTATGTGTGTGTGTGTGTGTGTGTGTGTGTGTGTGAGAGAGAGAGAGAGAGAGAGAGAGAGAGAGAGAGAGAGATCCTTACAGGAGATAGGGACAAAGATACAAAAGAGGCAAAGAAACGGAGAGAACCAGAAGTGAAAGACAAATGTAGAAATTCAAAGAAATAGAGGCAATAGAGTGATAAATGCACCAATAAGGAGAAAAAGACCAGCATCAGCATCTCTATTTCTGGATGGAACATCTGGCTCATTGTGTCTATCTGTCTATCACAACAACTGCCCCTGAAGTGGCCTATCATGCCCATGCCATAGGATATCTAATCAATGAGGTCATACATTGCATAGACAGGAAAATTGAGGCTATCAAAAGCCAGCCCGTGACCTTCTTAGGATGATTTGATGAGTCCATGCCCCTGGTTCTTCATACACGGTGTCCCTCATGCCCAGTCATAATCGCTCTGCCCAGGAATTCCCTGCCACAAATCTGTTCTGGGGATGAGCCAAACTGGGATGACTTCCTGCCTTGAAGCAGATGGAGAGGCCAGGCCCACCTGTCTCTCTCCTCCTCCCCCAACCCCCAGGGGAGCCTGGGTCCCAGCTGTCACCCTCATCCCCCCTCTCCCACCCCAGGAGAAACTGGGTCTCAGCTGTCACCCACTGGATTCAGAGACTAAGACTGAACAGAGACAGAACAGACTGAGAGAAAAGAGATAAAGAGGAACAGAGAAAGAGTGAGAGATACACAGAAACAGACAGATTGACCCACCAGAAGACAGAGCAGACAGACAGCAAAGAGGAGATCCAGAAACTGAAGGGGAAAAAAACCCAAGAGAGAGATAGGGAACCATAAAGAGGCAAGAAGAGGGTTGTGACCTGTGGGGCCTCTGCAAGATCCTGGATCCGGCTCCCTCTCAGGCCCCATGCAGTTCCCCATGGGACCAGCTTGCATCTTCCTGAGGAAAGGAATTGCAGAGAAGCAGAGGGTGAGGAATGGATGGGGAAAGAGGAAGGAGGGAAGGGAGACAAGATAGAAGGGGATGGAATGTAGATCTGGAAATGGAAGGCACCTCCGAGGCCATCTCATCTATCCCCTTCATTTTATAGATGAAGAAACTGAGGCTTAGGTAGATAAAATGAAATACTTGTAAAGAGCTTTGCAAATCTTAAAGCACTATATACATACTCGGTATTATTAATGGAAAAAAAAAACACTTGGCCGGGGTCTCATAGGTGGTAAGTAAGAGAGGTGAGATTTGGTCTCAGGTCCCCTGATCTTTCCACTGTTCCATGCTGGAAGGGGATGGAAGGACTCGAAAAGAGAAAGGAGAAAAAAGGAAGTAAACAGTTAAGGGGAAAGGCTAGAAGAGAAGTAAAGTTTAGGAAAGCATGAGGAAGGAGGAGAAAGCAGCTTGAAGGAGCTGGAAGGTTAGAAGAAGCAGGAGGAGGAAGAAGAAACTTGAAGGAAGGAGGTGAAAGAAGAAGAAAGTAGGTGGATGGGATGTTGGGGAGAAATTCTCATCCAGGTGAAGGAAGAGAAAGAAAATGGAAGGGGAGAGAAGGAAGAGATTGTCAAGGAAGGAATAGGAAAGAGCAGACAGGGATGGGGCAGAGGCTGAATGAGCACTGAGAGAGGGGTTGGTGACCCCAGTAGGGGCAGCCAGGAAAGAGGGTATGAGAAGGTGTGAATGGCCTCCAGCTCCCTCTTTCAGGACCCTGGAGAGAGCCCTGAGGGCACCTGAGTAGTCCTAAAGAGGGCCACTCCTGTCCCTGCCTCTCCCCATCATTCTTTCCTCTTGTACCTTCTTCAGGATCGTCCACTAGGACCAGATGAGATTGAAGGTAACCTCCTCCTCCTCCTCCTCCCTCCCCTGCAGACCCTCTGAGGCAGTTCCATCATACCCTATTCTACTGCCATATCCTCCTCACTCCTACTCTAACAGTGCCTTCAAGGAAACTAATTCTTGTGATAGCAATCTCCATCCCCCAGTGTCCCCAAACTCAATATCTCCTGGTAGTTTCAAGTTCCTATTCATTTCTTCATTGATGATTTTGAGATCTGTCCATCTATTTCCTCAGTAATTTCAAGACCTCCAATTTCAACAATTTTCAGTCCCTGTTTCCCCCATCCATCTCTCCATGGCAGTGTCAGAAATTCCCAACTTTCTTCCATTAGCTTCAGGAATTGACCCTTGCTCACCCCTGGCTAGTTTTCAGCATGGCCTCTTTCAGAGGCCAAGTCCTGTTCCCAGAGGCTTTCCCAGGAGTGGATACAGCTTTTCCCCATTTTGGTGGTTTACAAGCTCCTCATAATCCCCTTCCCCCTTCCCTGCCTTTCTCCTAGAGCTTCGGGAAGCCTTCCATGAGTTTGACAAGGATCGAGATGGTTTCATCTCCTGCAAGGACCTGGGGAACCTGATGAGGACCATGGGCTACATGCCCACTGAGATGGAGCTGGCAGAGCTGGGACAGCAGATCCGAATGAACCGTGAGGGTTGGGGGCGGGGCAGGGGAAGACAGGGAGGGCTAAAGACAGAAGAATGATGCTGACTCCTTACATTTCTACAGCTCTCAAAGGTTTTTCAAAGTGTTTTCCTATCAGTAGACAATGCAAATATGGTTTTTACCATTTGACAGATAGGGGAACAGATTCTGTGAGAGAAGTGGTTTACTCAGGGACACACAGCTAGGGAGTGGAAGAGCTAAGAGTCAAACCCAGGCTTTTTGAATTGGAGTGCAGGTTTCTTTCTGTGACTTGAGGAAGAGAGGCCAATAGGTCAAAGAAGTAAGTGAAGTGAGTCAATGATTTGAGGAAGGTGTTGGGTTTGGGTCTGGAGGCAGGATTAAGGAAGGCAATGAGAAGAGAAGTAGAGATTGAGATGAGAAAAAAGTGGGGGATGATTAAAGGGACTAGGAGGTGATAGAGATGCAGGAAAGCTACCGTGAAATATATTGGGTTCAGTGGTGGGACTGGAGAGATGATAAGCTAGGACCGGGGAAATGATGAGTGTGGGGAGAAGTTTGGACTGAGGCTGAGGAAGTAATTAGCACAGGAAGATCTTCTTCTGTGGTTTGGGGCTGAGCAGATAATTGGGCGAGGATGTGATGGGGATCGAAGACAAAGGGTGTGGACTTTTGGAGATGCTGTGACCAAAGAGATCATGAGGTGAGGTTGAGGAGGAGATGGGGCTGAGGAGATGATGACATTCGATGTTGGGGACAGGATTAGGAAGATTATGGGAATAGGGATGTAGAACAGGAGAAGACCTGAGGCCTCCCACCTCATTTTATCTGTGAAGAATGTGAAGCCCGGGAGGCTGAGTGATTTCTCCAAGGTCCCAAAGTAGTGTCAGAGGTAGTATTTGAACTCAGATCCTCTGACCCTAGGGTCAGCACTCATTCTATTCTACTAGCATTTTCAGAATGAAGGTGATAGACTTGGGGAGGTGATGGGGAGGAGAAAGTATGAGGAGAGTGGAGGAGATGATGGGGCTGGAGATCTGTTATGGTCCAGAAATGGCTAGAGGACTGCCTGCTTGCTGTATCGCGTGCATCACATCCTATTTTCCATCCCTGTGTCTTCGCACAGGATGTCCCTCAGGCCTGGAATGGTGGACCTTTTCATGAATGGTTCTGTATATTTCCAACTTCCTTTAAAGCTCAGCCCAAGTTCTACCTTCTACACGATGCCTTCCTTGATTTCCCCAGCTCTTTGTGTCCCCAGAAATCACTTTCTATTTATTTTGTGAACATTTTCCTTTTGTTTATCTATGTGTACACAGAGTTTCTCCCTACAGAATTTAAGCTTTTTGAGGACAGAGACTATTTTGTTATTATCTTTGTATCTCCTGTGCCTATCAAAGTGTCTGGCACATATTAGACAATTATTAAATGCTTGTTAATTGACTGACTGAGGGATCAAAGATGCAGGTCAAGAGCCAAGCCAACGTTGGTGTTGTGGGTGCTAGGTGGGGTGCACTCTTTGAGGAGCCTGAGCAGAAGCTCTTGGTTGGGGTAGCAGAAAGAATAAGGGACCCCCTGACCTGCCCCAGGGCACCTGGGGAGGAGGAAGTCTAGGGATCTGGGTCTCAGATTCAGTCCTTATCTTTTCCTCTCCTTGTTTTTAACTTTTCCCATCCCTAGTTGGTGGCAGGGTGGACTTTGAGGACTTTGTAGAGCTAATGACACCCAAACTGCTGGCAGAGACAGCTGGGATGATCGGAGTGCATGAGATGCGTGACGCCTTCAAGGAGGTGAGCATGGAGAGGGAGGACTGCTGGACTGCTGACTCCTGGAGGGGTGCCCTTTGTCACACTTTCTGGGCCTTGATCTCCTTCCATAAAAGGAGTCATTTGGTCTGGATGATCAATGAGTTCATTGAATCTTGGTAGTCTCCAAGGCCACTGTCACTCAGCACCATGGGCAAAGTGCAGGGATGGTGAGGGAGGCCAGGGTCACCTGGGAACACCTTTGTAGGGTAAAAGGGGTATTTAGAGATCAGGGAGCCCACTTTGGCCATTTAACAGATGGGAAAACTGAGAGAGAGAGAGGGAGGGGGAGAGGGAGAAGGAAAGAGAAAAAGAGAGAAAGGGGGGAGAGAAGAGAGAGGGAGGGAGGGGAGAAGGAAGAGATGGAGAGAGAGAGAGAGAGAGAGAGAGAGAGAGAGAGAGAGAGAGAGAGAGAGAGAGAGAGAGAGAGACAGAGAGAGAGAGAGAGAGAGAGAGAGAGAGAGAGAGAGAGAGAGAGAAGGAGAGGAGAGGAGAAGAGAAGAGAAGAGGAAGGGAGAGGAGAGAGAAAGAGGAAGAGGAGGAAGAGAGGAGGGAGGGAGGGAGAGAGAGAGAGAGAGAGAGACTTGAGGAGGGTGAAGGAAGCTATCCTTTCCCACCTCGGAGCTCTGAGCTGGATTAAGGGTAGGGAGAAGTACAGAAGGAAGGCCCTCTCCTCCCAGACCCCAGAGCCCCTTCCCTCTGCCAGCCCCACCAGAAAGTCTTCCCAGATTAATCCTGATGCCCTTGTGGGATTTCCTCCTTTGTTACTGGGCTATGCCTGGGGGCAGTTTGATGCCAACGGAGATGGCTCAATCACCCTGGTGGAACTTCGCCAGGCTATGCAAAGGCTGCTGGGGGAGCAGCTCAGCGCCCAAGAGATTTCTGAGGTCGTGCAGGAGGCTGATGTCAATGGAGATGGTACAGTGGATTTTGAAGGTGACATAGGCCCCTCCAGGCAGGGCTGGCCCCCTCGCTATAGACCTCAGTTCAGTTTCTGCATGCTTAGATTTCTGGGAGCTGTAAGATGCTTAGAGATCCCCAAGTCCATCCCCACCTTCTCCATTTGAATAGGGGACAACCTGAATCCCAGAGAGGGGAAGGGACTGGCCCCAGGCGAGGAGAATAAGAACTTGGGTAGCACGGGGAGGATGGACTTCTTAGAAATCATCACCAACTCTAACCATCCCTTTTCACAACTGGGAAATAGGACAAGAGAGGAGTAGGGAGTTCTCCAATGGCTGGGATGGAAGGGCCCTACAAGGGTGTATTCTGTGGGAATGGGAGTGTAGGAAAATCTGGATAACTGGTTGGGGTGGGGAGATAGGGACAAGGCATGGGAGGAATAGGCATTCACTGGCATCTTTTCCTTTCCTTCACAGAGTTTGTAAAGATGATGTCCCGCTGAAGAGGCATCCCCAGCCCTGCCCTGGCCCCCACCCTTTTTTTCTCCAAGAGATGCTTGGAAATTCTGGGTGGGCAGCATGGGAAGAGCTGGGGCAGGAACCCTTCCCACCCTTCCCTGGTGGGATCAGGGGGTCATAGCATTATAGGATCACAGGATTTAGAAATGGACTAGAGCTTAGAGATGATTAAACCCAATTGCCTAATTTCATAGCTGGAGGAGTAAGCCCAGAGAGGGGGAGGAGGGATTTGCACAAGGTCACACGGCGAGTCCCCAACAGAGCTGGGGTGGGAGGTCTCCTGACTCCACTGAGTGCTCTCTTCAATATTGTCGGGCTGAGAGGGATGCTCCTTCTTCTCTTCTTGTCCTCTTCCCCTCTCCCACCCATGGTGCCCTTTAGGATTTTGTCTTTCTTTACCCTGAGCCCCAACTCTCACAGAGATGGAGTTTAATCCCCAGATCAGATTAGCAGCCCTGGCCCTCTCGTTCTTCCTGAGAAAGCTGCTTGCCGTTAATCCTCTGGGGAAATCCTAGCCCAGGGACCAGTGTCTTGGGTCCCCTCACTCCCCTACCCCCTAGCCTGGAGTAACCCCACCCAGAATTCTTTCCCTGAGTCTTTTATCTGGAGAAGTCAAATCTGCCGAGCTGAGGACTCCAGGAGCAAGAATGCTGTTGACACCGAAGGTTAAAAAGCCCTTTTCTGCAGTCCAGCTTGTCCCTCTCCTGCCGTGGTCAGTTTCCCTGTTCTCGCTCTTTCTGCTGTTTCTCATCAGGGTCATACATCTAGGACAGAAAGGGATCGTTGAGGTCATTTAATCCAACATACTCATTTGGGGCCCATAGAGATGAAGGGACTTGTCCAAGGTCACACAGGTTGTAAATTCTTGGTAGATGAGGGATCCAAATGTGGGTCCTTTGACCCCAAAAATCGTGGGTTCTTTGCCTTGTGCCACATTGTGCCCATCAATGCAGAATTTAAAAACAAAAACCACAATGAGCAGTTTAGGAAAAAAAATCCATGAAGGAGAATCTCTTTAAAGAAGTGAGAGATGAATATATTAGGAGTATAAAAAAGCTGAGGTGGAAGAAAAGATGGTGTAAAGTGAGATAACATATGCAGAGATGAGCGAGTCACTGAAATCTGGAGCTTGGGAGGGTGCTTAGAGATCATTCAGTCAACCCACCTTCTCCAAGTAGGAGACCCTGTTGCATCTTCCCTTCGAGACAAAGCATTATCCACCATCTGCTTAAATACCTCCAGTGATGGGGAACTCACTCTCTCTCATTTTCAAGCATGTCCTGGCTTCTCCCATATCTAGACCTCCCCTTGCCTCTCTTGTCACCCTTCTCCACCACCTCTCCCCCATCTCTTAACCTAGTCCTCTGCTACTGTCTGCCATGTTACTTGTGAATTGATTCCTTCTAGGTTCTATAAACATTTCTCATTCACATCTCTGGCCTGTGTTTGATCTCTCCCTCAACCCCTGCCAGACCTAGGACTCCCTGCTGCCTATCCATGCCTCCCCCATTCCGGACTTGTGACATTGATTTTTTGTTTAAGCCCAGGTATAAAAGTTTACATTTGGCTCACAGAGACCCTCAGATAGCACGGGATCAGGGTCTGTCTGGGAGAAGAATGAATCTTAGGATTACAGATTTACAACTGGGATGGATTTAAAAGGTCATCAATTCCTTTCACTTTGCAAATGAGGAATTAGAAGAATGGTGGGAGGGGGGAGGGGAGAATCACTTTCTCGAGATTATATGGATCACAAATGGCAGTGATGGGAGGTGAACACAGGTCCTCTGATCTCCAACCCTGCTACACTGAACTTGTGAGAAAAGACAGGTCCACAGCTGGGATGGCACTCAGATGATCAGGAAGAGAGATGAATGTTTAAGTATGGGTCTTATTTGCCACCAATCCTTCCTGGGGCTGAGGAGTGAGGAGTCTATTCCACATGTGCAGAATTTTATTGAATTAGATACATTAGGGACTAGATTCAGTTTCAGATTGAGGTTGGAACTACTGGTCTATGAGCTCTGTGATGGGAGGCAACATGTCTGTATCTTTCTTCCTCCCTAAATTCTAGCATCACATTTCAGGCTCCTGCAACCAAGCAATTGTTGATCATTTATTAAGCCCCCGGGTTCTAATCCAATGACAGGGGTGGGCACTATGCTAAATTCTGGGAATCAAAGACAAAAGTGATACATTTCCTGCCCTCAAGGCACCTTCATTCTTTGGGGATAGAAACCACGTACACACATACAAAATAAATACAAGGCAATTTTGAGGGAAAGGCACTGGCAGCTGGTTGAGGGGCATCAGGAACAGCTTCATGTAGGGAGTGGTGCTTGGTAGATAACAAGGGATTCAAAGAGGTAGAAGTGAGGAAGGAGTACATTTCAGGCATGGAGCATGGCCATTATAAGGCATGGAGAAAGGAAATGGAGTATAATGTGAGAAGAATAGAGAAAAGGCAAATTTGACTGGGAAGAAGAGTGAGAGTAGGGGAGCAATGTATAATGATGTTGGAAAGGTATATTGTGACCAAGTTGTGATAGGCTTTAAATCCTGAACAAAGGAGGTTGTATTTGAACCTAGGGGCCATTGGGAGCCATTGAAGTTTATTGAGCAGGGGCAGGAGGAAGGTTATGATCAAAGCTTCACTTTAGGAGAATCATTTTAGTTGTGTGGAGGTGACAGGAAGACCAAATAGGAGGCTATTGTAATAGTCCAGGTGAAAGGTAACGAGAATCTGAATAAAGGGGTGGCTGTGTGAATGGAAAGAAGGAACTTACCTGAGTAATTTTGTGAAGGATCGGAGAGCTAGAGCTTGAGGTCCTTGTTCCGATCCCCCCATTTTACAGATGAGGAAACTGAGGCTCAGAGATGTGAAATGACTTGCTCAAGGTCATAGTGGGTCAATCCTGGATTATCCAGCTGCTTTGCCTTCAACTTTAGTGGTGTAATTGCCAAGATCTTTCCTTTGACTGGATATGGTGTGACATGAAATTTACCTTCAACTTGGCTTGAATTAGGGTTTAAGTTGAGTGTTAAGCAATGCTTAGGACTGAAGTTAGGCTTAAGGAAAGGGGCAGAGGCAGGGAAGGGCCAGGGATCAACAGTTCAATATTTTAATAGGTTTGTGATCTCCTTGGTTGACAACCTCTCTCACGCCTTCTGACCCTGTGGGATTCTTACCAATGTCATTCCCACAGAGGATCTGTCCAGTGCACCAAAGGCCTTTTTTCACCAAGGTGCTATCCCGTCCTGTGGGCACCATCTGGCCCCGGGCAGGCTGTCTACTTGGTCTCCTTCAAGCTTGTCCCAAACAGACCCAGCACCCTTTTTTACTCTACATCTCTCAGATGATGTGTCTTCTATGACCTCTAGGGAGCAAGCCCTCATTGGTGATATGGCACAGCCTCCTTATACCCCTCCACTGCTCCCTTGCCCTTTGGGGCTTCTGAGGTGGTGGTTCCACAGGCTCTAGCCTCGTCATATCCTCAGAAGCCTCACAGTTGTTGTTGTTCAATTGTTTCAGTTAAATCTGACTCTTTGTGACCCCATTTGGGGTTTTCTTGGCAAAGATACTGGAGTGGTTTGCCATTTCCATCCCCAGCTCATTTTACAGATGAGGAAATTGAGGCAAACAAGGTTAATTCACTTGCCCAGGGTCACACAGCTAGTAAGTGCTTGAGGCCAGATTTGAACTCAGTAAGATGAGTCTTCCTGACTCCAGGCCTGGCGCTCTAACCACGGTCCCACCTAGCTGCTCAGAAGCCTAATGGTATGCAAATTTTTGTTTCATGGAGCAGCAATCGAGGACCCAGCCCCATCTCTCCAAGGCAATCCAGGCTCCTTCCTCCCTCTTGGGCAAGTCTGGACCCAGCTTGCTTTCCATCTGTAGTATTTGTCCAAGATCTACACCAAGGGAGGTAGGACAGCCTAGCAGAAAGATCACCAAACCCGGATGGAGCCAGGAGACCCCCGGGTTCAAACCCTGTCTCGAATGCCACCTCGTAGTTTTATCCTGAGCAAGTCACTGAACCTGAGTTTGCTCATCTACAAAATGAGGATGATGAGTCTTTCACTCCCTACTTTCACAACCTGCAGGGTGGTTCTGAAGGAAGCATTTTCCAAACGTGAGTTTTATTATTATTAAGAGTCAGTGTGGTTGGAGTGGCTCCGGAACTCGTTTCAAATCCGAGCCCAAGTCCCAGTCTCCCCTTGCACACACGCTGGCCGGGTGACCCTGAGTGAGTCACTTCGCCCTCTTTCTAGGTGGCTAATTCTACATGGTTCACTTGGTGATGATAAGAGCATGGTTAAATGCAATGACCTCTCTCACTGTATCTCTTCAGGATCTGTATATTTGTCACTCAACGTTAAGTACACCTTAGTGCTAGTCCTAGAGTGAGGAAGACATCAATTTAAATCTGGCCTCAGCTATTGACTTGCTGTGTGACCCTGGGGCAGTCACTTCTCTTCTGCCTGTCCCAGCTTCCTCATATGCATTCCTTGAAGGGCTGCTGTGAGAATCACAATGAGATACTATTCATAAAATGCTTAGTACAGTGCCCAGCACATAGTAGGGACTTAATAAATGCTTACTTTCCTCTCCTTCCCTTTGCTTGTTGGAAGGGAGCCTTTAAGGTGGCATTTTGCCATGCTGAATCAAATGCTTTTTAACAATAGCAATAACAGTGATAAGTACAGTGGGGTTTTGTATTCCCACATACTCTCAGTCATCCTTGGCAATTTAAAGCCAAACCGAGTAGTTTGTATTTTGATTTACAGATGACAAGGCATCTCTGAAACTTTCTTAGCAAAGGATGATTTTGGAATCTGTGCATAGATTGGAGAGAGGAGAGACTGGAAGCTGGGAGATTCATTAGGTGCCTTCTGCATTGGTCTAGGTGGAAGGTGATGAGGGCCTGAACTAGGATGGTGAGTGTCAAAATGGAAGAGATAAACATTCATTAAGCACCTACTA